ATTGAAAAGCGATGCAAACAAACGAGTTGTTTGTGAAGGTTGTGACGGATGACAGCGGTTCCGGCGGTGATAGTAAACAAGCCTATAGTGAGCCACAGACAGCCACAGCCGCCGCCATCGGTGGTAACGCGACCGCAGATGTGGGCAAACAAGCGGTGAATTATACGTTCACTTTCGACCAACCGGTGGCCAACTCTTCGGCCAAACAGTCGCCAAACAAAGCACTTTCGGCACCAAATAGTGGCCACAAAAAGGCCGCAAATACTGCCAATAATAGCGTTAATAATACACAAAATAAACGCACAAAAGGTATGTTAGCTATTGTTCTAAATTGCCCATGGTCATTATTGGTAGGCGTATAGTGTACTTAACGTATAGTGTATTTGTTTTTATGATGTAATTTTGCACTGAAATGCATAGAAAATGTTTGACTAATTTTTTTTGTTAATTTTAATTTGTTTTTTATTTTTCTTATGTTTTTGTTTGGTTTGAATTATGTTTTTGCTGTGTTTTGAATGGCATTTCATTATCGCAATGTATGGCTACGTTTGATACACGATAACCACCCGTCCCCTCACACACACACACCGCACATGTCTTGGCCCCCCATTGCACTCATCCCTACCCCTAATCTGCCCCCAAAAGGCCCCCTAAACCATATCAAAGCACGTCTTAATCTAAATATCGGCGCCGATAAACGTATCGCCAAATCGCATGTCTTTAACACAACGAGCCCTACGGCCAGCCAGAGCTCGGCCGCCGCTGGTATAGCCAACCGTAGTGTTGGCCACAAGTCGGGCACTACCGCAGCGGTCGTCAATACATCAGCCGCCGCGAGCGGTGCCAAAGCGGCGGTGAATCGGCGCCGCATAGCGCCGGCCGCCCCTCCCCTTCCCAATGGCCAACAGTCGTCACTTCACCACTCATTCATTTCAGACCTGACAGATGTCCGCAAAATGGAGAACACTTTGTTGACACTTCTCGAGGACTTCCACTCTGGAAAACTCAGGGCTTTCGGTAAATGTCTTTGAGTGACTGATCTTATGGTTGAATTGAATGTCGATTTAATTTTTGGGCGTATTTTTCAGGTCAAGACATTACGTTCGAGAAGATGGAGAACGTTAGGGAACAACAGGAACGACTGGCGCGACTCCACTTCGACCTCGATGTCCAGCAGGAGGTCTATGGGTTAGTGGCGAAGACAAAATATTGATATATATTTACACTAATCGTGTGGGTGAGGAGAGAGAGAGAGAGAGAGAGAGAATAATTTATAAAAGATTTTGTCTTTTATTTTTGTGACGTTATGTCTAGTCTGGAGAGAGAATTGATTGTATTTTTTTTATTAAGAAAAGTGATCTTGATATAAAATATTAATGTCTTCAAATATCCTATATTTGTATAAAGTTTTATGTGATTTTTTAGCCATCAAATGGCATATTGAGAGCAGTTATACTATAGTATTATAACCTTTGGCAAAGTAATAGCGGCTATTTTGCATACACGGGTGCTCTCATGAGAATATCAATATATTTTATATTTCAAATAATATTTAAATTCTTATACTTATGTAAATGCAATTTTGTCGCATTGTGTCTGAAATCCTAGATTTTAATTCAAAATGTATGACTTCACTAATGTTTAATGAATTTGTTGGCAATTCAGCGCTAAAATCCAAACATCAAATCAGTGTTTATTGTGTGAAAAGTCATTGAAATCGACAATAAATAAAAGATTTATAACGAAAAAACTTTTTACACCATTAGAGACGTGACAACGATATCATTAAAGCGCTTCCGAAAAACGTGACAATTCTTTAGTATAAATATTATTATTCCTGTGTTTTTCGCTGGCGTTAAGAATATGTTTGAAATATTGATTGAAACGTTGAAATAAACATTCAAATAAACTTTTACGAGTTAAATATTTTTTTTTTAATTCTCTCTCTCTCTCTCTCTCTCTCTCTCTCTCTCCTCACCCACACGATTAGTGTAAATATATATCAATATTTATAAATCCATTTATATTCCGATGAAATATTGCTATAAATATAAACATTAATAAAAGAAAGTATTGACTTTACGTGGGAAACAAAATTCCGCAGACAAATCAATACTAGAAATATAATATATTAAACAATAAAACTAAAACTCAAAATAGCATAAAATAAAATAAAATAAAATTCAGCTTAACTCAAATGTAAAGAATATTCTGTAATTTTAAAAACACACTTTAATAGCGAAGGCAAACACAAAACACTAAAACGAAATTCGTGTTTCATTTTAAACGCCAACACTTATTGAGTGTACATTTAATGTGTTATTTGTATTCAAGAATATTCTGCATTATTCACGAGAATATTCAGACACAAAAAAAACTATATATTGATTGCATTTTCTACATATAGACTGGTCTGGGATTTGGTGCTGTAGTGCTAACAAAACAGGGCATTCATGTGGACCGGGATCTGACCATCGATGGCACTCTATATGCCAAACAAATCAAGACAACTGATCCGAAAGAGACGCTAACGTTTGATTCGCTGAGCGACGAAAAACTCGTGCTAAAAAACAGCGACGTTTGGGAAAATAGCCTTACATTAGGTCAGTGGCCAAACACCTGCACCCCCTTAACACCCCCTCTCGAAATAATCTAGTTTATTAAGATTCACATAAAAACATTTAAACACAATTTATAAACACATATCGTGTGTCTGTATATTTCACAGGCGATGGCAAACTGGAGGTGCAGTCAAATAGCTTTCAGATACGATCGACAAATCCCATGGATTTGGACGATAACGTGGACGACATACTGTTCAATGTGGAACCCCAGGAGCTGACACTACACGCCAAAGAGTTTCTGAGACCAGCGCTGGGCGGACACAATATCAACACATCGCTGGAGACCAAATCAATTCGCGGCGATCTCTACCACGACTTAAGGTATTAAAACATTATAGCCGTTATAATTAATGCCCGGTTTTGTAATTAACCATTTATTTTCCGGTGCCGAACGGCTAGACTCGAGTCGCGTACCCAACAGGTGCTAATAGAGGCCGACAAAGACATACACTTGGAGTCGAGGGGCGGCGATATTATGTCCCAATCGTATGACAATACGATACTGACGGCTAATGAGGCGATTCGGATGCAGACAAAGCGTCTGGAGTTTAGAAATTTACCACTTTTTGACAAAACCGCCGATGAAATCAACACAAAAGACTCTTATCAAGTGAGTAGTAATGCCTACAGTGATAGGAGGCGGGGGTTTCCGAAAGGGTAGTGCTCTGTGTAACTGAATTAAAATTTGTGTGTATTTTTACCCATGATTTACATAGTTATGTATCTGCGAATCGGGACAGTTGTTTGCCGTCCGGCCCGACAGTGTCTGCAAAGCGGACGCCCACTGGTGTAGCGTCCAAACCAACGACCAGTGATTTTACATACATATCCCATATCAAAGAGTATCGTCGGCTAAACATAAAAAATCCAATTATCTAAAATCAACTTTTTGTTTTGAGCTTTACAGTATAATTATCAAAATTAACAAGTTGTTAGACAGTTAGCGGACACGTCAAGCAAATCATTGTGTTATGAATGTCAGCAAATATACTGTATATACCCCTCGATGTGAAGGGAGGCATAAGTATGTGTGTCTTAAATACCAGTGTCACTGGAGGTATGGGTGCCTCAAACCGGTAGTAAGTTATTACAAGTAGTCACTAAACGGACTAATAGTAAAATCATTCATTTTATAGTAAAAATAGCCGTAAAACAGAGTTAAATTAGTTATCGATTTAAGTCTAATAATCATTTTAAGAAAACAAGTCATGATTTTTAATTCATTAAACGTTTTTTATAATACAAAGTGTAGTAAAAACAGATAAAAAACGTAAAAACCATTAAATTAATGCATTTTTGTTGCTTTTTCTTCTGTATATAAATTCAATGTCATATCATTTAAACGACAATTTCGTATCAATTATAATGATTAATATAAAAAACAGTAAAACAATTAAATAAAATACTAAATCCTTTTGACTATCAAAGAAAAAATACCATTAAATATATGCTAAATATAACTTTTAAAATATCAATAAAAAGTATCACAAAAGTATTGCCAAAATGTCTGGGAATGGCGTTCATCGACGAACTCCTCAGTCAAGAGCCGAAGACTTGGATTGCAATTGTTCTCTAAATTTATAAACAAAAAAAAGACAATAATTTAAGGAAAAAAGATCACAAAAATTGTAATTAAATCCAAAGGCCAGTCAGCAAATGGCAGTGACAGCGCATATCTATCAAACGGCAAAACAGTATGTGTGCAAAACGGCACGTGTATGTGTGGGCCGAAGGGCTGTCCAACACATACACGACATATCATGTGTGGCATAGAAAAGGATACATTGAATCGCTTAACTCTTGCAACTGTTACCAGGAATGGGAGGGGAAAGGGATGTGAGAGAGAATCAAAGGTTAAATTACATTAAAAATGACAAAGAAATGTACACATTATGCTCACATTGGCGATCAGTTTTGTCATATTATCCTTCGCCATACGTTTACCCTCTTCTGTCTGATGTCTGTCACCAACAAAACAAAAAACACTCATTAATATCAATACGCGGAACAACTGTCTTCGCCACTAACCCATAGACCTCCTGCTGGACATCGAGGTCGAAGTGGAGTCGCGCCAGTCGTTCCTGTTGTTCCCTAACGTTCTCCATCTTCTCGAACGTAATGTCTTGACCTGAAAAATACG